AGAAGAGAAGGTTTGGGGGCAAGATCAATGACATGCTATGGTGTCTACAAGAGTGGACTTAAGTTAGCAGAGTGACTAGGTCAGTAACTAGATAGATACATGAATTAGGAAAGGCCTAGAAAGGAGATATGAACTTGGGGGTCATTTGCATACAGATGGTAACAGAAGCCATGGTCAGGGATGAGAGCAGCTAAGATGATGTAGAAAGAGGCTCTACAACAAAATTTTACAATCACAAGAACACAAACATGTCAGGGGAAAGGGGTGCGCCTATGAAGCAGACTGAGGAAGCATACCTGCCGATAGTATCTAGCCCTGAAGCCAACATACACAAGCACTTCAAGGAAGAGCAGTCAGTGGGGTCAGAGGGTAAGAATGCTGACAAGGATCTAGCTGGGTAGAGCAGTTTGAGTGGCACTAAGAGACTGGGAATACAGACAAATCTTTTAAGAAAACTGGTAGGAATGGGAGATACAGGGACATAGGGTTTTTAAAAAATAGTGCTTATTTTAACTATAATCACTGATACAATAGGGCCAGTAACAACTATTCTGTAAAAAAAAATTTTTTTTAAAGACTGCCATGCAGTTACAGAATTACTTAATACAGAAAACAGTAATATACACACATTTTTCTTTTTTACAAACAAGACTAGTTTATAGCAAATTCTCTATTATTTAGGGTCAGTTTTAAATCCTTAGCTTATATCTCCCCCCAACTCAGTGACTACATGATGCAAACTAGTTTTATTACCTTAAGCAAAATATATAGTGGAACTTCACAAAATGTACAAGACTTCAATATTTTAGGAACTAGGGTAGGAAAGCAGAAGCCAGGTCCTCCAAACATTCTTTCAATAAAGCACTTGCCATGAAAGAGAAGACTCTAAACTACTGGCAAATTACCGGTAGATTTTTTGGGGGGGAGGAGTGGTGGTTGGTTTTTCATTGTTGTTTTTCCAGATATTTAAGCTTACTCCCCATTCACCGAAAATCTCAACTTGACCATCCTCGATTACTAGCTTGTTAATACTTGCTTTTCTGCTCTAATTCCGTTTAACAGAACTGAGCCCTTTAGTCTGGTTCAATATAAGCCACTGACTTAAAATGCTACTGTGAGCTACCAGAATCTATCAAGGCCTTTACTTCATCTTACCAGTCAAACCTGGAACGTTGGAATGAGTCTCCGCTATCGACTAGTGTCAGTTTGCCTGACTTGCCTTTCTCATTCTGCTTCTACCGGTAATTTGCCCTGTCCCTCAAAATAAAATAATCTACAACAGTATGACGGGGGACCTACTGGCACTTTGGGAAGGATAATTCTCCATTGTGCCTGGCTGTCCTATGCACTGCGGGGGGGGGGGGGGGGCTTTGTGCTTAAATGCCAGCAGAATCCCCCCAGGTAAGTCTGACAACCAAAGAAGTCCCCTATATTTTCCAACAACCTCTGGAAAGAGGGGTTACTGCTTCTGGTCAAGAACCCTTGACACAATTTTGGTTCCTGAGCTCTTACGGCATCTATTTCGATTGCTCGGGAATCAGTTCCTTCTAAATTGTTGATTGTATCCTGGTTCCATGAATTTGCTGGATTAGTGACCAAGAATAATGTGTTACAATAGTTAAGACCGGACTTCAGCACAGGTTTGCAAATTGTATGTGAGAGGACCTCTCAGCTGGGTCCTGCTTTTAAATCGTTTTATATATTTGGCTTTACTGTTAAGATTTCCTTTTCATGGTTAACTTAAGTTTGAAAAGTACTGTTTTTGCACAAAGCAGATGTCTTTAATGGAATTAAAGAAATATAGAATTGCTACAATCTGTTAATAAAGCTGCTTCTTGAGGATTAAGTATTTCTACTTGTGCACTATCGTAAATATAGAATGTGTGGGACAGTTTTAAATTCTATAATAAATCCACTTCCAGCAGCTAACACAATCTGACGTCGTATCACTTTAAAATAAAGGGTTTCCTTTAAACAGGATTTCTTTATAAAGCAGTAACACCCATGCATAATAAGCTAAAATATCTCACACCTCCTGATCCTGGAGGGCAATAATCTTATTCTGTCATCCTTTTTTGACAGGGCCAAACTTCTGTCTGGAGTAGAATAAAGAATTACTAATGGGCAACTATTAAGATTCTATACTTACCGTAGTCCTTTAATAGGCAAGCTGATAAAACAGCACCCAACTGTGAAAAATTCAGGGGAGACCCCCAATAACTGATCTCCAAAATGCAGGAAGCATCCTAAACCAGCAATTTAAAAATAATTCTTACTCCGCTGACTAAAATTTTGTATGATTATTTTCTTCTACTAGTAATATTATCACTAGGGTAGGTTGGGGGGGGTGAGAGGAGGAACTCTGTCAGTTGACTTCAGACTCAGAAAAATGTTCAAAAAAAAAATAGTCTCTAACATTTTGATAGTTAAGACAAAATACCTCCACCGTATGTACGTTCTTACTTCTCAGAAACTTCTGAACTTGCTATGTGAGTTTCTGCGATCTGACTCAAACATACATTTAAGGAGTTGATAACTTCAGACCATATGCATCAGAATTTTAGCACTTTGTTAAAACCTAAAATTTCTTTAAAACATCTGAAAAACAGACTTCTAATTTAACTCACATTATCAGTACTGAACTTCTTTAAAAACAATCATATCATAAAAGCAAAAAACAATGACTTCATCATTAAATTAAATTTTTAAAAAGGAGTTTGCATGTCTCAGTCCCATGCTGCCTCTTGAGATGAAAAAAAACATCTGTCAGAAGAATCTGAATCGTGATCAATTTGGATGAATAAACTTGGTGCTTTGCCACAATCCAAATTAGTTCACTTGAAAAATCGGACAAATGTTTGCTTTTAGAATGAGATTCTCTTTGAGTGTCTCAATGTTGTACTACCAAGGCTTATGGATTGGATTCATTTCTTCCTCTCACAAGGTCATCCCAATGCGGCTCTATTTCAGTTGTGGCAATCCTAAACAGGGCGTGGAGATGCTCGTCTGTCAATGGCTGGCTCAAAGTGTGTTGGTTTCGAGTCAAATATGAAAAAGCCTTTTCGCAGATTTCGTTACTATCAAACAAGGATGCCACCTTACAGGCAACCCCTTTGATAATTGGGTAAGATTCAGCAGACAATCCAGCATAGAACTGCCCCAAGTCTTTGACTCTGTATTCATTCCAAAGGTTAGTATTCGCCTGAAGTTTTGTTAGTTCCACTCTTACCGAAATAGGTGCATATTCAGGTTTAAAGTTAAAAGGATTTGCAAAAAGTTCTAAGTCCTTTTTAATGAACCTGAGGTCCTTGAAATGTCTCTCAAATTCTTTCTGTAGGCGACAGATCACCACTTGATACCTATCAGGATCAAATATTTTTTGATCTTCTTTAAGATGCTGTTTAAGCTCATCAACAACTTCTCTGAAGGCAGCAAAGTGTGTTAGATTTTTTTCCTCAATATGTCTCTGCAGTAAATTCAGCTTCACTTCAAAGGTACAGATATGGTCAAAGGCAGCAGCAGCAAAGACTTTACTGACTCTCAACAGTTCACTGAGTTCTCGAAGGTGGTCCATAATATCCACCAAGAAGCCAAAGTCACACAGCCATTGCTTGTCTGTGAAATGGACCGTTGTTGCCCCTATTGAAACCAAGAAGGCTTCTATCTCTTTTCTCAGGGAAAATACTAGTTTTAAAGTTTTCCCTCTTCTAAGCCAATTGTTCAGACATCGTCCATTAACCCTTTCGCCATGCTCTGATTCAGATTCAGTTAGTAAAGCCTGAAATTCCGGGCGCCTAACGCCTCTGGTCTTAATCAGAACTATCCATTCTGATATAGTATTTATGATCTGATTAACGTCGACATCGTAGGAGCTCAAGAGTTCCAAGTGCAGAAATCCTGAATAATGGATAACATTCCAACAGTTGGGGCTTACAGCCTTTTCCCTCATGTACGACACCAGTCCTGAGTTCTCACCAATCATCCTCAGAGTGTGGGTCGTGGTTAGTCCAACCATTCGCTGCAAGCTAAGCCCTGCTGTCTGCAGGGCCTCAAGGATTGCCGCCATAAGGGCACCAACACTGAAGTGACGAGTCAGGTTGATTATGGTCAGAAGCTCTTCTTGGACCTCCAAGTCCTGGCCCACGCCGCGGACAAAGACCAGGAGGTAGTTCTCATAGGCCACAAAGGCCTGGTCGTCCAAGGCAAGGGAATAGGCTTTAAAGTCCTTGGCTCTGTCAAAAAGCTGACTGCGTAGGTTTTTGTTAATGTTCAGGACCCTCTGCCGCGTGACCTCTGGAGATAAATCAATGCCATCCAGAACGCTTACGTGTTCGGGCAGTACATCCCTCAGCATCACCTCCATGCACTGGTACACAAAGTCCCCCTCACCCCAGCCGCGACCCTTCAAGGCCAAGAGGCGGGCGAGCCCGAGGCCTGCACGAGCAGCTCTCTCCTCGGGAGTCAGCGGGGCGACCACGGGCAACTCGCCCTGCCGCAGACGCTCCACTAGGGCCGCGCGCTCGCCCTCCGCCACATACCGCTCGTAGTAGTCGTGCTCGGCCTCGTAGTGGCGCCTGACGTCGCGTTCGCGGGTGGCTACGACGAGGCGGCGACAGACCAGGCACAGGGCCCCTTCGCCCTCCGGAGGCTCCACCACCAAGTAGCGCTGGGTCCACTCGGTCCGGAAAACCCGAGATTCGTCGACTTCCATTTTGCTCCTTTTGGGCGTCATCCACATTTTACTGCAGGCCACAAGAAGAGGGCCGACCTCCGGGAGGCCGCAAGGAGAGGGGAGGAGCAGGGGCAGGAACAAGCACCTCCTCCGCTCTGCGCCAAATCACCCCAGCAGGGGGACACCAACCTCCGGCTACGCCACCTGCGTTCCTATTGGCTGGAGATTTCGTATTCCCTAGCCCAGGAAAGAGCCAATGGGGAGAGCGGACAGCGCGCAGGCGCATACCCTTCTAGCCAGGGGCCTGAAGCCGTGCGCTTAGGGAGGGACCAAGAGACCCAGGAACCCGCGGACTTAAGAAACTTGACTGGCATCCAGCTGCCCAATCAATAGCTCCCTGGTTCCGAAGCGTCTGCCGCGGGAAGGTGGGACAAGACCGCGTAAACAGAGTTGGTTGGAAAGACGTGGGCACGAAGCCCTGAGGTGATTGGCTGAAGGCACTTCCGGTGAGCCTCCCGACGTGACTTAGGCTCTTCTGGCGCCAAAATGTCGCTCGTAGCGGGGGTTATTCGGCGGTTGGACGAAACAGTGGTGAACCGCATCGCGGCAGGGGAAGTCATCCAGCGGCCGGCTAATGCCATCAAGGAGATGATTGAGAACTGGTAGGGAGGGAGTGGAGCCGGGCTTTCTTATCAGCTACGATTTAACAGGCCCCTCTTCAGGAGGGCGCGCGGACACGCCTCCCTGCCCCGGGCGGAGGCGTGTACGGCGCATGCCCACGGCGCCGGAGGCCTCGGAGTCCTGCCTTTTCCCTTCCCGGGTGCCGCGAGTTTCTGAGCGCTCTCGCGATACTTCAGTAGGGTTGTCGGGGGGGGGGTCCAAGTGGAGGGCTACATTGTATTGTTTTAATGGCGCCATCAGTTAAGGGAACTACTTTTAAAATTATATGTACAGAAGGTGCAAAATTTTTAAATGCATAAACATTTTCGGGGGGAACGATCTCCATTCATACTTCAGAGGGTACTGTGTTAACGTTTCTTGCATATTCCAAAAATAACCCATGCACATTCAAAAGTACAGTGCGTTTGATTTTTATTCCAAACAGATTGTCGAGATTTTAGACAGGCCGATGGACTTTGTCTGGGTTTAACTTCTGACTGCCCTATTGCCAAATTAGTGACCCAACTTAGTGTTTTCCTCCCCTTTACCTTTTGGCGGGGGGGGGGGGCACATCGAAGATGTGATTTCATGAGGGTACCCCGTGGATTCTGAAGTTTAGAAGTGTCACAGTGTGGAAGGAAGAGGTTAAAACTTGGAAAGAAAGGTGGGTGTAAACTATAAACTTAAAAAAGACATGCTCATGATGTACCTAAACGTTACCTTCGTGTTGAAATCAGTTGATGTTAATAAAATAAATACACGAAAAGAACAAAATGACCCAGCGAAGAATGGTGGGTTTGTAAGAAGATTGTGAAAACATAAACAACCACTCAGGGTAGTGGGACTAAAAGAACAGTGTAGAAAGGACCACTGCGGGAAAGGAACAGAATTAGGAGGTAGACAAAAGAAGGAGCAGGGGACATGGGAACAGGTTCTCTTTTCACCAACTGTAAAGGCTGGCTTTTGTTTCTGCAATGTTAGAATTCACTGACAGACTAACCTGGGCCTATTATCTAATGGGCCAGACTACTGCACAACCAAAGTGAACATATTAGCTAAGTGGTTTATAATTAGTTCTACGAGCAGGGATTTTGTGTGGGGTCCAGTTATGCCCTTTTTAATATGGAAATCGAGATGGCTAATACAACTTCAATTCAAGGGCTTCTGAGAAAGGTCTTTAATATTTAAGTAACTTATTGTCTTACTTTTGAAGAAAGAATTTTCTTTGTGTGGAGCCGATTACTTTTCTTTCTCAAGCAGCCACAGACTGAATTTGTTTTCTATAGCCTGTGCTCTTGTGATGTTGGCTACTCTTTGAAAGTACGAAAGATTTCTTGGCTTCTCAAAGAACTTTCTGCATTGCCATTTTTTTTTTCTTTTCCGCAACAAAATGTATTTTCTTAAAAGGGAATAAATAGTAGAAAAACACATTTATGATTTTTTTTTGAAATGACATCTTATTAGGGTCACTTGGGAACCCGAGACTGAGTAGAATTGAAGTAATAAATGGCAAAATTAGTTGAGAAGAGGGTAAGAAATAGGCATGTGGTAAAAGGATCCTACTTTTTTTTTTTTTAATATTTTATTTATTTATTTGACAGAGAGAGACACAGCGAGAGAGGGAACACAAGCAGGGGGAGTGGGAGAGGGAGAAG